AAATTAAATAAAATATATTTATAATAATTATTACTATATATATTCTATATTCTACTAAATAGCAAGTATATATATTAATAAATATATTAAATTAATTATTACTAATAACCTTAAGTTTATTAATAATATAATATAAATAGTTAAATATAAACTTTACTTAATAAAAGTCTTTAAACTAATTATTACTATATTAACTTTTATAATATAACTAATAATTAAAAATATAAGGCTTTACCCTTAATTTAAAATAATATTATTTACTCTTTAAATAATTAATAAAGCTAAAAAGTTAAAGTATACTAAGCCCTTTTATTTTAATATCCTTTTAAAGTACTTTTAGTATAGCTATTTTTACTTATATATTATATTATTACTTTAAATAACTTATATAATATTATATTTTAATTTTTAGTAATTTATTTTAATAAAGATATAGTTATATTTAATAAATAAAATATTAAAAAGATAGTATATAATCTTTATTATTAATTAATCTTTTTTATAATAAGTTTATTTATTATTTTAATTATAAATAATATTATTAATTTTATATAGCTTATTTTTAAAATTATTTTTTTATTATTTTTATATAGTTAAATTTACTACTTAATTTTAGAATAGTATTTAAATATATAGTTAATAATAGCTTTAAGTAATATATATAGTATAATATTAATATTTATAAGCTAGTTTAAAGTAATTCTTTTATATAGTTATTAATTTATTTATTATTTTAAATATTATTAAATATATTCTATAATAAGTTTTTTTATTTTTATTTAAATTATAAGTTAGTTTATTTAAGTAGTAATAAATATAATTAAAATAAAAATAATATATTTTTAAATATATAGTTATTTAAGAGTTTATATTTCTTTATATAGTATATATTAGTATAATTATAAATTTATATTTAGTTAATTATATAAAATAAAGTATTAAATAAAGTATTAGCCTTTATAATAGCCTTTAATAAGTTATTATTTTATAGAGATAGTTAGTAAAAGGGCTCTAAGTTTTATATAATAATATATATATTTTAGAACTTTATAAACTTATCCTTTTACTTTTAATTAAAAAAGCCTAATTCTAGTATAATAGGAGTACTATTAGCTTAGATTATTTTATATAAGTAGGTACTTCCTTACCCCTATTATTTAAACTAAAACTAATAGGCTATAATATTAAACTTTAGGATTAAATACTCCTTTAAGAAGGTTATAAATCTTATATAAAAGTAGTAGATTATAATATAAAGGTTTTCTTTAAAGTTTTTCTATAAAATCTTCAATTTATTAATATTATTAGCTACTAATTATTTCTTATATTTAAATATTATATAAACTAATAAATCCTAATATAGGTTAGTAATTAAAAGGTTATAAAGATATTAAAGTATTTTAAGGTATAATATATAATTATAAGCTTATTTTAAATATTATTTTAAAAGATTATATTCCTTTAATATATTTATAAACCTTATAATAAAGTTAATAATATTAAAGGATTTAAAGATTTTATTATTAAGGAGCTTTTTAACTTTATAATACTAATAATCCTATTTTAATATCCTTTTTATAATATAATAAAGCTACTCTTTTTATTAACTTATAATTATATTATTATATTAAAGGTAATAAAAGGAATTAATTATATCTTATAAATTAGCTATTATTCTATATTATTATATATTAGACCTACTATTTTTATTTATACTTTTAAACTTATAGAGTTATAAATTCCTAATATCTTTAAGTATTAATAATAATATAACTAAATTAATAAGTATTATATTCTAATTAAGATTATTAAAAGATATATAGTATATACCTAATATATTAATAAAGTTAAGGGTTAACTAGTTTATATTATTATAGGTTTTAGTATATATATATAGCTATTTTAAATATAAAGAAGTTTATTTAATAAATTAATTATAAAAATAATAAATATTAGTATATTTAGTAATTATATTTAAGACTATAGCTATTTTAAAAATATTATTATTAAGCTCTTTCTTACCTTTATATCTATATATAAAACTATAATTATAACCTTTTTATTATTAATATTAAGTATTATAGTAATCTAACTAGTATTATATTTATTTAAAATCTCTATTAACTACTAATAGTTAATTATTAAATCTTTATATTTAAAGTACTTTTAATAAAAAAGTAAACTATACCTCTATAATAAAGTATTTAATTTTATCTTCTATTTAAATATATAAATAATATAAGGGTTATTAGATACTAATTTTAGCTAAAGGATAATTATATTTAGCTCCTTAAATAGGTAGGGTAGTTAATTAAAAGTATAATAGTATTATAAAGGAAGTTAATATAATATTAAAAGTATTTAAATTATTAACTATATATAAACCTAATATTTATAAATATATAGATCTTTATAAAGTATTACTCTTTATATTAAATTAATTATAATAGATTCTAGAGTATATAACTAAAAGATATATTATTCTTCTTAAAGAAGAAAAAGGGGAGGCCTTTATTTTTATTAATATTTATAGTATAATAAACCTTATATAAACTATTTTTAATATTAATATTAAACTAATAGTATTTATAATACTAATAGAACTTTATTATAGTTTTTTATAAGCTTTTCTTTAAACTCTATAAGAAGGGCCTTCTCTTTCTTCTATAAAGTTAAATTATAGAAATTATTGATAAACTTAAAGTTATTATAATATAAGTATTTAAATAGCTTATTAATACTAATTTTAAATACTATAACCTATAAATAAATAGTATTAAGTATAATTTATAGGCTATATAATATATTAATAATAGGTTCTTTATAACTTTATAATAAAGTTAGCTTACTAAGGAGTTAATTAAATACTATTAAAAGTTTAAAATAATACTAAAAGGTTAGATAAATATATTAATACTACTATTATCTATATTATTATAATACCTCTAATATTAAGTATTTAAATAATTACTAAGTAATATAAAAGGGTCTATATTATTACTAAATAATATAAAGAACTCTATATAAAGAACCTCTTACCTACACTAAATATACACCTTAAAAACATTATTATTCTATAATTCACAACTATTTACCTTATTTATATAATAAATATATATATTAGGGTAGATATTACTATAATATCTTAGGCACTACCTTAACTTATAGATATAATATATAAATTATAACCTACTTTCCTTAAGGGGCTATTTAGTAGCCACTATACTAACCTACTTAATATATATAGAACTATTATCTTACTATTAGAGGATAAATCTAGTATTAAATATTATAAATATTTACTTTTTAATATAGTACTCTACCTTATACTATTATATAATATTAATTAATTTATTATATACCTTCTATATTAATATTATATATTTAAATACCTTACTCTAATAATAATATTAAATATTATTAATTTATAGTTTAAAAGGAGAGTATAATAGTAGAAAGGAGGTAATAAAGGTATAATAGGTGAAAAAATTACTAAGATATAAAATTAGTACCTTTTAGTAATAAGAGTATATTAACTTTCTATTAGTTATTTAATATATCTTTAAAATAGTATAATAAATAATATTAATATTTTATATAATAATTAACTACTATTATTATATTTATACCTTATAAGGTATATATTTAAAATAAGTATATATTTTATAAGGTATAAATAGGAAAGAAATAATATTCTTAATATAATCTATTTAATTTTTCTATAATATATTATAATAATATTAGTAGTTAAAATTATATTTTCCTTCTTTTATAAAAGTAGTATATAAACTTAACCTTTTATAACTTTAATACTTTTAAAGATATTAGGGATTTTATTTTTAAACTTTATATTTATAACTATATTATCTATAATTACTTTAAAATATATAACTTAAAAATTATATAATTATTATATTATAGAAAGTATTATAAAAGAGAATAAATAGAGGTTATAGTTTAAATTTAAACTAGAAAAGTTTTAAGGCTATATAGAATATTATATAAATAAGAGAGGGCTAATAAATATTATTAATAATAAATAGAATTTACAATAAATAAATTTTATACCTATTTACTCTTAAGTATAAGTAAGAAGAAGTAGAATCTTATATCTATTTACTTTTAAATGTAAATAAGAAATAAAATTTTATATCTATTTATTCTTAAATATAAATAAGAAGAAGTAAATTTTATATCTATTTACTTTTAAATATAAATAAGAAAAGTAGAATCCTTTTAGTAGTTAGATAAAGTATAAAAAAATAACTATATAGTAATATTATATAAAGAAAGAGTATAAAGCTATTATATTAAAAGTTTATTTAAGGCTATATTTAAAAGGTATATAGTTAATATTTAATAAATTTTATAAATTTTATATTTAGAAGTATATATTTAGGTTGGCTATATATTTTTTTAGGTATTAGTTAATTTATTTAAGAGGTATAGATTAAAGTTAGTTATATATCTTTTTAAATATTAATTAATTTATATATTTATATATAGTTAACCTTTATATATAAATTAACCTTTCTTTTTATTAATAGGTACTAATTAGTTTTTATATAATAATTAGACCCTTCTATAAGCTAATAGTAGATTTAACTAATTTTTAATTTAGAATTTACTCTATAAAAAGAATTAACTAATTATAGTGTGAGAAATATATTATATTAGTTTACCTAAATAGAGTAAGCTCCACCTAGAGCGTCCTTTGCAGGGCTTGGGCCACTCTGTTCTGCGCTTAATAAGAGGCTGTATGCCATTACTCAATTGGGAAGCGTGTGCCTGTGGCCAGCCTATAGCGAAGCCGAGTATGGGCCATTTTGCCAAGCAGCTGCACACTTCCTCTGCTCCGACGACAACCCCAATGCAGGCTTGGCAGGTGAGCTAATAGCGGCTAAATTCGAACCCTGGCAGGGTGGCAGGCTAAACTCCCGGCTGTGGCCGCCAGTGGACACCTCCAATGCCTGGCTGGCTACCACGGGGCCGTTTCAAATTGACGATTCGTGGAGCAAAGCCAATCTGGGGCCATCTAACTAAATGGGATTGAAGCCGTGCTGAAATACTGCTTCCGGAACATATTCCAAGTGGCGATGAGCCCGGAGGACGTGTATAATATTTGAGGGCAAGCCCCGGGTCTCTCTCCTAGTATTTCCAGCAAAATCTGTCCATTTGACATCCACTCCATCGGACTGCAAAGCAAAATGCATTACAGCCTTGTTCTCAGCTCTATCCTTGCGGTTGTGGGAGCAGTTCCTATAGCCGACCCTATTACTATCTTCAACCGAGCCCCATCACCCGGGACTGTCTACACAAGATGCAGCACCCCAAACACTCTGGCGCTCGCCTACGATGACGGCCCCTACCAATACACCCAGAGCATAGTAAACAAGCTGAACCAGGCTGGAGCCAAGGGGACTTTCTTCTTCACCGGAACACTCTACGGTGCGTGCCTTTATCTTGGACAAAACCACCCGCGCACCCACACCTTTCTAACCCGCAACAGGATGCATCTACAACCAGGCCGCAGCGGTCAAGTCCGCCTACGAAAGCGGCCACCAGGTCGCATCACACACCTGGACCCACGGCCACGTGGGCTCCATGTCCTCGTCGCAGCTGACGACGGAGATGACCAAGCTGGAGCAGGCCTACGTCAACATCTTTGGCAGGAAGCCCAGGTACATGCGCCCGCCGTACCTCGAGACCAGCGGCAGCGTCACCTCCGTGATGAAGACCCTCGGCTACAACATCATCACCAACGACATCGACACCGGCGACTGGAACGGGCAGTCGGCCGCCCAGAGCGAGGCCAAGTTCACGCAGGCCGGCGCCGGCGGGAACGGACACATCCCCCTGATGCACGAGACGTACTCCTCAACCGCCAACGAGCTCACCACGTGGCTGATCAACTGGGCAAAGACCAACAACCTGAAGATTGTCACCGTCGGTAAGTGGGATCTTTTGGCTTGACACTGGTAATTCGTACAGTCAGGCGGCATATATGCTAATAAGGCGCAGCTGAGTGTCTGGGAGACGCCGGTGGTGAATACCAGCCCGGTAACTTTACCGGCAATGGACAAAACACTTGCTAGATCCGCGTGCATCACGCTGTCCTCCTAGGGAGGTGGCAGAAGATCCTCCTGATACAGTTCAAGGAGCTTCACCTAGGTACTTGGGCTAGCATTGTCTATGAAGTGCCTCAGCTCTTGGTAGCTGACTTGAGACTTGGGTATTATGTGACGACTTCATCCGTGACATGCATCTTATTGTAGGCCACATTTGAGGACTCTCTTAATCCTGTTGCATTGAAATTCTGACCCGAGCCGAGCTGTGATAGTCATGGAGTTGGCAGGTCGGCATCTGCTGGAAACTTGTTACATCCCACTCTGGTCTGGGCACATTCGTCAGCCAGGAAACGGACAAGCAAATCCACCACAGCTTCACCGTCATCCAGTGCTGGCCCCGGGGTCTTTGCAGGATCAGAGACGTCGGCTGGCCCGGAAGCTGTGGCCTCCTCGGCGCCAAATATCCTCCTGGTCTCCTGGCTTTTGAACGTGTCAAATTCGAAATGCCCTTGCAGTGTGAGGACTCGTCCCGGCTGGTAAATTCCCGGAACCCTGCAATGCTCTGTGGTGCCCAACAGCACCCAGGGCTTTGGCAACGACACTTCTGCAGGGGCCAGCACAACCTCGTCGGCATGTACAAACTCCAGGTGAGCGCTCTTGGGAACAACGCAGTCGGAGCGCCCTCGCAGGCATGGGTCCCCATCACAGTCCTCCCCATCCTCGCTTTCCGGGCTTGGTAGCCGGCCAGCCCACCGTTGAGAGCTCTGTGACGATCCAACAGGGGCAAATGCCTCTCTGAACTCTGCTGTGAACCTGACCTCGCTGACTCCAATCTCCCAGCCGCCCGGGCGCCTCGCGACGACCACCCCATGATCCTTCAGCAAAGCCTGGCAGATCATGTGGTGGCCAAAACAGCTGCCGAATAATTTCACCCGGGGACACGTTGTGTACAGCGTCACGACATATTGCTCCAGCCGCTTTGTCCACTCTTCGTTGCCATATGAAGATGCCGCCGATGCAGTGATGAAGACGGCGTCCAGGCCATCCGTCGAAGCAGGATACTCGCCCGCCACGACATTGTAGACTGAGTGGACGATCTCCAAGTGTGCACTCGTCCGATGCGCGGCAGCAAGCAGCTTCCGATGCAGTATGTCCCCGAACGTGCCCAGGTCGGCATACGTGTTCGGGACCGATGTATCGGCGTTGAGCATCGCCACACGCAGGCAACGTGCCCCGGGCGCCATGGTGGGCTCGGTGGATGACTGGATAGTGAAACAAGGAATTCGATTCAAAACGAGGCTATTCTTGCACTATTGTTGTAAATCGTCGTACACAGGGACAACGCGCTGGTTTTCCTAGACTGCCGAGTGACAAACTAGAACACCTTGTAAGTACTCCCCCGGGTGAAGCAATTCAGGAGTCACCGCCAGAT